TAACTGTATTCATATTTGTCTTTATTTCCAAAGCTATCCTTTCCCAAATGCCAGATGTTGTCATTTTATTTATATGAAATGCTCTCTTACTTGGCAATGGCTTCACTGGTACAACATCAGGAGTAAGGTCTTATGTCAGCTAAACTGGCCTCACAATATAGGAAGTTCTTGGGAAAAGCAGAAGATAACAATGCCAGAAACCAAGACCTGAACCCCCTTGAGCTGACTGGTAAAATAGAAGTGACTCCATATGCATAAAACTGTAAAACTTTTAGCAGAGGAGACAAAATAGTTTTCAGGTGAGATTTGTGGCATTCTTTATTTCCCACCTTTGTAGTGTAAAGAATGCATACCAGGAAATGACGTTATAAGGTGCTTTATAGTACAGACCTGTATTATACAATTTCACTCTCCCATAATTTAACATGATTTTAAATTATTCTGTTGAAAATTTTAGAAAGCAAAATTCAGATTTAGGAAGTGAACAAGAATAAGAAAATTAGTGAGAAGATGTGAAAATATTTTGAATATATGAAAAATGGAGCTGTACTGATAAATGTTTTATGGTATCTGTTAATGTCAAATATAAGTGTGTGAAATATGTTACTTGATTTCATATTGGACAGCTGAACAACTAGATTCCCCATTGTCTTGACATAACTTAGAGTGTCACTGTCATTCACTGAAAAGAGCTCTAATTAACACAGTTCTCAAAATTAAAGTGATACATAAGATTTGTTTACATGTTTTGATCTTTTGTATCCTTTATTATGGTACAGCTCAAAAAGTAGACAGGCCCAATATTTTCCTGTCCCTAGCTCATCACACAGTCATGTTAGACTACCTTCAGTTTCTTTTCTTTTTTTTTTTTTTTTTTACCTTGGCTCGATGTTGGACCTTCTACGTAGGCTACATTCTTTATTCATTTGTATTTGGCAGTACATTGAAATACACTTGGCATTGTAAACAAACATCAAACAATTATTTTAATCGGATGCACTATTTTAAAAGTTATATTGAATTTTCTTGTCTTACAGACACTAATTGTGTATTTGGAGTGATGGATTTTGTTTCTTTAGAAGTAGGCTTATGGATCACTTATTTATCATAATTTGGGAAAGTGGTATGACCTTTTGCTTCCATTTCATAGGTTTCCAAAATTGCATGCACAATGAAAGCAAATATAAATCATGTGCTACCAACTAACTTTTACAAAACTATTTAAATGAAAACTAGCAATTCTGTCCTATTTCCTGCCAAGCAGCTAAGGCTTAAAAAACTCAGGCAGAATAGAGAAGTGACTGAATTAATTCACATTTGATACTATATATCGTACTTAGTATGATTATTAATCTTTGGAATATGCCTGGGGAACTGCAGGGATATATTATTTAGCTTCTTCACTCAAAGAACAGAATTTCCCTCTCATCTTTCTTCACTTCCACTTTCCATTTTACTGTAAGCCTCTCCATCCCATCCTGGATTATTTTCCTTGACTCCCATACATTTGCCATAATGCTGCTATCAAAAATATGTTGTGTGAGATAACAGATCAGTAACACTGAAAGAAACATATCTGCGCAGCGCAGCTTCTACAGAAACTGCTACTTAGCTGAAAACTCCAGAATGCTTATATGTTTCCCATCTGGAAGTACTGGAATTACACTGAAACTGCACATCCCAGCTGCAAGGTGACAAGAGTAAAGTAAGTAAAAGCACTACAAGTAAAGTATTTCTGGAAGAGACATTGAAAAGCTCAGTGCTACGCCAATCTGAATGTTTGTCATGCCTGTTGATGTTAGACGGTGCTGGAGACGCTTGGCACAACTTCCCCTGCACCAGGCAGGGGAAAGCCAGGGAGTCACTAGGATAATAAGAGATCTGGGTGTAAGCTTGATCTACCGTGTACTTTGTTTCTTCTGCAGAAGATAAAATGAGGAAGATGGCTCAGGGAACATGGCTCCAAAGAGCAATCATCAGGCCCAGAATACATGGCTAATCTGGAAAACCCATGGTATTAAATGTTCTAGTAATAAGTGGACCCACAATGAAGGGCCTTGAACTCCTCACCAAAGGAATCATCTGTCTTTCATGTAGCTGCATGAAACCTTGGAGAACTAAGAAGAAAGATACTACAAGTCTACACGCACGCACACACACAAAGAGGCAAAAATGATGCCTCTTTCACAATTGCCCATCTGCATTCCTAAGACTCCATAATACTTCTTATGGCTCTCACTTGTGAGTGGGAAGGGGACACTGGAACGCATTGTATATATCCAGGCACACTGCTTCCAAATGTTTCCCCCAATCTACAGAGAGAATTCCTCACAAAAGCTTGTGCATTTTATATACACTATTTAATTGTGGATATATGACAACTGAGAGACTTCCAATACTCAAAATAACCGTTGTTGTTTTTTTTTTTAAATGGGAGGAGGGTGAAGAAAGACAGTGTTGCAAGAATGACTGAAAGCAGAAACTTCTTCAAATATGCAAGGGTGAAAGATGCATTGAAATTCCACCAGCACACAGATGGGAGCATGTCCTGAAACCCTCTGAATAGAGAAAATGGTTGTTTTGAACCCTGAAAACAACCTCTGAGCCTCCCTCAGTTTTGAGAAGAGAGCTACTCAAGTTAAAATTGCTGTTACTTAAGCTGATATCAAGAGAGCAATATTTTCAAGCCTTTAACTAAGTTTTATTTGGTGGTGCTTCCAAGTAAATTAGGAATGAAGGAGTAGATACTCAAGATTATTATTATTACACCTTTTGCCACGTTTTATCCTCCCCTTCCCCCCCCCCCCCCCCCCCAGTTAAGGGCAGGCTATTTTAAACAAGTTCCTGCAACTTTTTTTTTTTTAACTTAGGGATATAGTTATTCAGCATTTCAAACAGCTGTGAAGTGCAGAAGATGGCAGCAAGCAGCTAAATCTTAGCAGACTTTCAAGCAGAGATGTCTAGTTACTTTTTTTTCCACCTAAAATGGTAATAGGTGCCTAAAAGCATGGCCTGTCACAAAATCCATGTGGACAGCATCTTCAGAAGGATACCTGCTGTATTCAGCAATTTCAGTGTTAGGGAATCTACAAGCATTCCTGAGATTCCTCACACTTTTAAGCAGGTGGCAGTGTAGGTTAAAGAGACATAGACTTTTCCTGGAGCCGATAGAAATTGTTGTTTTCCAATTTTTCCATCTATCTTAACCAAAAGTAGTAATTTATAGCAGTGTTACTGGGTTCCTATCTACCCGAAGACAGGATCAAATTATGAAAAGTATGCCTTTGTTTTAGTGAAAAAGGACTCAGAACTGTTCTATTATTTGCAGAAATAGCTTTGGGGGTTTTATTTCTCAGATTGAGACACCACAGTGAGAGGCATAACTGTCCTCTTTAATACCATTTTAGAATGAGGAACTATCTTCTGAAGAGGTTAGAGGATGTCACAGTGCAGTGATTCAGCATAAACTCTCAATATTTACAGTTAAACAGTGAGGGTTTAATGCTAACTCTGTAGCCTTTCTTCTCTTGGACCTTCCAGTATGCTACTAACGTAGACTTGGTAGGCAAGGCAATAAGAGATTTAATTTATGTTTGCGTGCTGCTATGACCTTTCTTTCTAGTTATTTCAATTTTTTGTGCACAAGATGTTTTATTATCTAGCATTTGCATCTATGAATAGCTAGTATGGTATATTTTTTAAACAAGTCCTAAAGTATTAAACTAAAATAAACAAAATGCAACAACTGAGCTTCATTTAATGAAGGGTAAGTGGCTTTGATCTCTTGTATGGACACAACTACTTTTCATAAGCAGTTTTTAAAGATGACTACAAACACGGTGAGAGTGTATGTCATGAAGTGGGAGCGGGTTTTTTTGGAGAGATCAGAAATATTTGTGTGTGCGTGCCTGTGTGAATACATTTCATGTTCCCTGAATATTCCTAGATGAGATTCCCTAGCTGCCCACTTAAAACCGTGTTACCCAAAAGCTTTAAAGGTTGTAGTTTGTTGGGCGGAGTTTCTGTCAGTTACCATTAGGTACTTCAGAGGTGGCACGTCATTCTCTTTCTTTTCTGGATCAATGCAACCCCTCAGTGACAGCTGGGGGTTTAACGTGAGCACCTGCACCTGAACAATCAGAGCGGTGGGCATCGCTGCGGGAAGGACGCCACACTGTCGGGGAGTTCGGAAAACGGCAAAGCTGGGCCTCACCCCTGTGCTCTCACAGACCGGCTGTGAGATCCTGGGCAAGTCCCGTGTTTCAGCTTCCTGTGCCTTGGTTCCCCGCGTACAACCACAGAGACACGGTTGCTCTCCTTCTAATGCTCCAGGGTTTGGAGACGGAAACCTGCCCAAATGACCTGAGTGTCGTTACTCTCTCCTCTACGCTGGCGGCGAAGAGAAATAAGAACGAACAGCAACTGGAAATGGAAACTATTTAATCTGCTCCTTTCACTTCTGCACCAACTCCCAGAAGACCTGCCTTTCCTCTTCTTCACAGGCGCTCAGCTCTCTATGTCGCAGTTCCCAAGCAAGGGGCCCCCTCCTGCCACACCTCCCACCTCCCTCTCCTCACACCGGCCCCGGGGAAGGGGGGGCCTGTCTCCTCTCCCCTCACTTCCGGTTTCCGCCTCCCACTTCCGGGTTTCCGACTCCCACTTCCGGGTTCCAACAAATCCCCTCCCCGCCCTCCCCAAACACTTTTTTACGCCCTTTCACCCCCTCGCACGCCTTTTCCCGCCTCCCCCGCTCCTCTCCCCCTCACTTCCGGTTTCC